GCTTTTCCCAAAAATAGCTCCAAAATCACCCCAAATGTTATTACATTTTATAATACATATTGATGTCTTTGTGGTATGTAGAAAGTTTGAGCTAAGGCCACTTCAATTAGATTCACTTTTTCACCCACACACTCGACATCGGCAATTAATTATTTGATTATTCATACATTATGCACATCAATTTATATAGCAATAATTAAAATTAATGAATTAATGAAGCCGCCCACCCACATCAGCCCATTCATGAAAGGAGAAGCTATAAATCAAATTATAGTGGCATAATTCTGACAAGTAAATTTTGAGTTATGAGCTGAAAAGGACTAAGTCAACTAGCATATTACAAAAGACAATATATTATTCTTAATAACTATTACGGGCTCTGTCTGATAATAGGAATCCTTCCACTTTAGCTTTTGCTTGTCCAAGTTGGTCTGGAAAATCTTCACAAACTTGTAGTACTGTTCTCCAGGTCACTCCTCTATTGGAGTCTATCCATCTCTGGAACACTAGTATGAGCTTATCAGAGGCTGACATTGGACTTTGTAACAAGTCATCCACTTGAACATTAAGTGCAGTACCAATGGTTGAATAATGGGCAAATGAACTTTTGAATAACCTAAGGAGGTCACCCTTTTGTGGCTTCTTGTCCAGAATGTCTGTACCAATTTTAGATCAACAATAATTTACTATTTTTATAAAGCCTTACTTTTATCTGATGCAGCGTCTTTTATATGAGCTACAGTTACTAATAGAAACATAAATGGGTTTAAGCTGTAATATACATGTATACATATACAAGCCAGTAAGTAAATTGTCTAGAGAGACATCAAAGCATTCACATTATCGAATCTGAGTGACATCGCTTTGTTACATGGCAATTCCACATACTCATTAAAGTACATGTGTGTGTGTCTATAATGTATGAGCATTATATACCTTTTGTAAGTCCCTCCAGTATTCTTCTCTGATTATATTCATCAATGTCCAGTACTGACTCTACTACCAAATCACCAGTACTAGATACTATAATAATAATATTGCATATTTAGTACACAATGTATCTACTGGAGTATTTATGTTTATATGTACTTACTGATTTCAATGAATGTTGTATCACTGAGTAATGAATGGTGTAAACCACATCTCTTTCCTCCAAACACAATTATCCAGTGAGTGCTTTGTGTCTCACTCCAAACTGATAGAGAATGCCAATATCTATTAGTGACACTCTCTGGTATATTAGTCTATTATAATTAAAAATGGTCATGAAATAATATTATCTGCAGAATAAAAAATGATTTCTCTCTCCTTCTCCTCCATTGTCAATAACACTTACAAAAATGACAACTTTGTGAGCTTAAAACTACTCATAGCATAATCTTTCATTTCTTTATCATATGCACATGTCTATACTGACCAGTTGTACTGTATTAAATTAGTTTTCATTGCACTGCAGACAAATCGCAGTGGTCTCGTACTAGTAGGACTCACTCATGTTCACCACTAATGCTTACCAGTTTTTCCCATTTCATTTTGTTTATATTTAACAACCAACAGTCACTGGTACGATATCCACCCACTACTAGTAGGTGTGGTCCTGAGCTACAGTTGATCAATACACTGGAATGAGCATCTCTCGCCTGAGGCCATTGTACTGATCCTCCAGGATTAGAAAACTTTTTACATTTCTATAATAAAAATATTTAATTATCATAAACCACATCCACACATACAACCAATTAATAATTCACACTCACCACTGATGTATTGGCAAATTCAAATATATATACATCATTACTGACACTGTCTTCATCAGTACTACCACCAAACAATATAGCAGTGGCATTAGTTATTGATGTTAAAGTGAAGGAAGAAATAGGAGGTGGTCTGTCTCCAGTAACAATTGGGGAAATCCATTTACCTAAAAATTATAGACATGATGTGGTATTGTACCATGCATATACCATATAACTATATAGTTGTTGTGAATTATGGGTATGTTAACCTCTAAGGAGTCCAGCACTTATATAATCAAGGTTCAAGCCCAGCACTATATAAGCTACTGTTATAGTTGTTGCGTACAAAGTTTTATGATGATTATGAGGATTATGATGCCATATGCACATAAGTGTGTCAATTTAATTACTGTTTATATACTAGCTTAATATATTATACTGACCAGTTTTTAATCTGTACATATGTACTTCATTGCAATATTGAACATGGGTTCCACTGTACTTGGCACCAGGTTGTGGTGGGGTGTTATTATGAAGCGGACCCCATCCTCCAATTACTGCAAGATAGTCCTCGTCATTAATATGTAGTGTAACCATGCCACAGGCGCCCTTCATCATAGGACCATGATGAGATGTAGTAGGAGAGAGTTCCTTCCAATTGAAGGTATCAACATTGAAACTGTATAAAATATTATATAGTATATTTATCAGTAATTATTATGTTTACCTGTATAAACTATTATGATAACATTCATCATGACCACAACCTCCTCCATAAATGAATGTTTCATTTCTACTGACAGCAGCAGCATATTGACCAATACCAAGTGGAGGGTCACCAGTGGTAGGCTTTTGTACCCACGTACCAGTTGGTACATGACAGACCTCCACTACAGAACACATTGATTTCTTTGCTTCATTATTGTGTACTGCAGGGAGATCATACTGTTCCCCACCCCACATGTACAGGTAGTCTCCTACCTGTACTGTAGAGTGACCTCTCCTCTCCTCTGGTTCATAGGCTATAGATAAGAAGAGGACACAGTAATATAGTGAATAGTTATAATAAGGAGAGGATACAGAGGAATAAAGTAAGGGAGAAAATAAGAAACAGAAAAGGTCACTTACTTGATGACATCTCCATACACTAAAAAAAAGTAGCAACTATTAATAATAATTTTTTGCAGCAAGTATATATCTACAATCTACATACCTGAGAGACCACACACACACTCACAATTACATTCCTTCCACGCATGCACATGTAGCATGTGTTATGTCAATAATGATTAATTTTATATCAGAAAATAAGTAAATGATAAACAATATCAAGAACAAAGTGATAATCAATATGAGAGAAGGAGCTGGATTAATGGAACATTTATCACAAGTAGTATTACTGCATGTGCTTGTAATTAATGTTCCATGAATCCTCCCTCTCTCTCTCTCTCTCTCTCTCTCTTATAATAATAACTAATGGTTCCATTCACACTATCCAACTGGGACAACTCCAATCTGAGAGGGAGAGAGAGAAAGATCATTGTCATTATTTATTTATTATAATTTACTGCTATTGCCTTTTCTCAGTATTGGTTGCTCCCTTTGTCTTTCTTGTAGTGAACACACTTCATGTACATGTACATGTATATCCAACTATTGTACATGTGTACATGTACTTTTGTCTTCTACATGATTGTCATTACTTGCAATTGATTTCCAACTTTCTATCTTTTTTAATTGCAGGGTAATATATCACGTCAAGAAGCAGTGAGCATGATTCCTCCGCTGTTGCTAGGGGTGGAGCCTCGTCACTTTGTACTTGATATGTGTGCGGCCCCAGGATCAAAGACATCTCAACTAATAGAATCTCTACACTATCAGGATACACTGGAATCATCTATACCCAGTATGAGCATAAATTAGTGTGTGTGTAATACATGTACAGGTACTTGTATGTACAGTGTAGCCTCTCGTAATCCACATTCTCTATAGTGTACACCTCCATTTAATGCACAGCACCTACATATACATGTAGTGTACCAATTACCTTCTTTACAGCATAAAACAAAGCAACTTTCTTATACCAAAGTGTCTATTATAAAGAGGTTCCACTGTATGCTTGTTTTAAAGCATCAGTTCTACATGTAGCATGTGCTTCCATGTAGCATATACTTAGTATATAATGTCAAAGCAGTAATGTGATGGCTAGTTCAGTACGGTGGAAGTTATCACGTATCGGTGTATTACATTATGATGTGATATGTTATTGATACTTCCATACATTATTGTGGTACTCTTTTCATTTCAATTTAATAATCAATAAATGAGGTGATTGTGCTCTACCACTACATGTCAATTTGTTATTTATTTACATGTACCTGTGTAATTTATAAAAATTTGCCACTCTAATTTCAAAAATTAATCAGTAATACCTCATGGGTCCTATTTTCAAGGGAATTATATTTTGCTGATTTTGCTGTTTAGGTCATCATTCGCGAAAAATACAGCCTTGAAATTTTATATTTGGAACAGCCATGCCCAATCACGTGTAAGAAAAATGTCTCTACCAGTACTTTATGACTTCTTACTAGCCCTGATGGACAACTTAGGAATTTATTAAAAGGCAGTGTGGTGACTGTGGTCATTATAGGGGTTTAAAAATTATTGGACATGGTCATTTCAGCTTCATTTGTGAATATTAAATCTGTAAATTTTACAAAAATCTAAAATTTGCGAAATATTATTCCCTTGAATAATAGTATTTTGAGAGTAAAGTTTTTTATAATTATTTTTCACTAATTATATCCTTTGCACATGCTCTAATTTATCCGGTATTCTTTATTTGTCTTGTCATGACTACATGTAGCTCAGTATCTATATTATTATATTATTACAGTACGTCCTCAATTATCTGTATCTCTTTTATCCGAACCCTCGTTTATCCGAACGCATGGCTGTCTCTAATGCGCATGCTCAGACTAGTTAATTTATTAATAACCAGTTAAAATGGCTGCTACAGCGGAGCTTAACCAAGAGAAATACCATTAAAGAGAAGCCTGAGATACACTGCGAGTTAGTGAAAGGAAAGTCATACACATTTACTCTTCAAAAAGTATATTATAGGTCGGTCTACTGTATTCTGCGCTGTATTTCACTTATCCAGACTATTCAGCTATCTGAACATCTCTCCAAAAAAAGTGCACAAAAGTGTTCGGATAATCGAGGATATACTGTAGTAGTAGCTACTCACCACACAAGACACACAATCACTGCATGGCCATGTTGTCTGTAAATTTGTCAATTTAAATAATTAATTGTATCTTTGCTTAATTTTTTCATTTTACATCTAAAATTAAATCTTTATTGTAAAGGAGGTGATTAGAAAATTTATAGTGTTACATGTACAATATACACGTTCATGTTAATATTTAAATTTAATTGTTATTAGTACTATTATTGCTGTTATTATTATTATTATTTAGGTGGTATAGTAATAGCTAATGATGCTGATAACAGTAGGTGTTATACTTTAGTGCATCAAGCCAAGAGATTGAACAGTCCCTGTCTCATAATCACTAATAATGATGCTACCCAATTCCCAGTACTCTACTATAACAATGTAAGTAATGAGTGAATGATATACTGTATAACTGCTAATATTGGTTGGAGCTTTGTTTTGTAATTTTGTACTAGTAGGGAATTTTTTTAACATGAAGAATTTAATTTTACTGTTTTACGCATGAGCTATTGATACACTCATTAACTATTAATGATTGGAATTTAATTTTACACTTTTAAAAGAAAATACAAATGTACCATAGGCCGGGTTTTGATTGCGTATCTAATAGATTGCGAATTTGAAAAAATAACTAGTTTGCGTTTCCAACAATTGCAAGATGCTAGCTAGCTAGCTACATTCAAGCCACACTCACAAGTTAACTGATTGTCTTGTTTCTCTCCTTTGCCATCTAAAGCTACTGCCACAGCTTGATTAACTTCCTTCCAGATGTTAGGTGGCATTGGACTTGACTAGATGATGTAATTGGGGCTGTAAATATCACAGGATACCACTCATGATGCTGTAAATGAAACACGTGTAGAGAAAATGATTGATAGGCATGGCGTGGCATTTATCAATTATTATTAATTACGTAGATTATTTAGGTGCAATTCCTTTCTTTGTAAGATGTATTTCATACTCGCGATTTGCAATCAAAAAAATCTTGTAATCAAACCTGGCCTATGATACCAGCAAATATTACCATCTGTTATACATCGATGTACATGTATATGAGTGTGATTTTATTATTTGTATGTTAGGTTGATGGTAAACGTGTTCCATTACAGTATGACAGAGTACTCTGTGATGTCCCCTGTAGGTAAGTACCATATCAGCATACTAGGGTTTTACACAGGATTTTGCCATTGTGAATTGAGATTATGGGCCAAAAGGGTCACAGGCCAAATTTAGCCAAAATTGAAAAGGAGAGAATTTGTCCCTTTTATTTTTTATACATACACATGTACTTATATTGTGTAGAAGGTTTCAGCTGATTCTAATCAAAACTGGATTTTATATGAATTTTTTAAGTTGCTCAAAAATTGGGCCAAAGTCCCTGTACTATAGTACAGGGTCAAAAGCCAAGTTCCGCCAAAATTGAGAAGGAGAGAATTTGCCATTTTATAATTTTTTTCTGATACACTACATGTACATGTTCTTACATTGTATGTTGTGTATCAGCTTTGCCAATCAAGTTCGGATTTTTATGAATTTTAAAGTCGCTCCAAATGATATGTACATTTAAATGCATGTACTGTATTGCAGTGGTTGTCAGCTCATCAAGCATGCTGTTTAGCTCACTTAGCATTCTTTGTAAGAAACCCTGGGTATATATACATGTACATGTACATGTAGTTTTGAACTCGTAGCATTTCTTATACATGTATGTATGTGCAGATGTAATTAACTGTACTGAATGCATTACTTACATGTACATATGTAATAATTACTGTATAATTTAAAACATGATGGAACAAAAACAGGGTTCAAAGTGTACCTTTTTTAAAACAATGCATTTTTGGTGCTAGCCTTATTTATTATTAGAAATAGGTACATGTACATATTATTTACATGTATGTACATTTGTAAATGTTGTTTTGTCTTATTCATTTCTTATTACTGTATTCAGTGGTGATGGTACTATGAGAAAGAATCCAACAATATGGAGATCGTGGAATCCTAATACACCATTATCACTACACAGGTAACATACTGTATCGATACTTTGTACATGTACAAATGTATAATAATTATCCACATATTTTGCTGTTTGGTTGTCTCAAAAATTGCCATCATAATTGAGTACATCAATACTTGTAATGTACATGTACATGTACATCATTTACAGAATTTATTTGCTAATTTTAATGTTATTTTTTAACCTTACGAAGACTATTAGGCTACATGTATGTGGTTTGGGACATTTTTCTGCAGTTGTGTACAATTTATATTTTTTCAGATTACAATTAAGACTGCTGATGAGGGGTCTGGAATTATTGAAGCCAGGGGGTAGGCTGGTCTATTCAACGTGTTCAATGAATCCAATAGAAGATGAAGCAGTTATTGCTGGAGCATTGAAGTTGTGTAATGGATCAGTGGAACTGGTGGACACTTCTTCACTGTTACCTGGTCTGAAAAGGACAAATGGAGTTAATACATGGAAGGTAATTAGTAACTGTCACAATTTATTTATCTTTAGCTGATTATTACTCATTTCTGGTCCTATTTTTAATTTATGAAAGATTGTTATTAAAATAAACTGTCACATTTTAGCTGATTTTGATCAAAATTGGATTTTTAATGATTTTTCACACATCATTAATGGTCGCCAATTTTGTGGTAAAAATTATGTTGTAGGTGAAATATACATATACTGTACAAAAGTATAAAGGGCCAATAAAAATGTAATGGAGAATTCTCTCCTAGCCATTTTTGATGAAATTTGAGCATAGACCAAAGTTACATGTACATGTACATGTAGCTATAGCTTTTGGTTGTTGGCTCAATTTTTGAGCAACTTTAGAAAATTTTTAAAAAAATCAGGATCAGCTCAAAGTTGATAAACAACATAAGATCGTGTATATGGAATTTGGCCAATGTGCATGTATATGTATCAGAAAGTGTAATAAAAATTGAGAATTCTTTTCTTCCCCTGTACTATAGTACAGAACCTTTTGCTAAATTTTAAAGCAACTTAAAAATATTTTTATTACAAATACAGGTCTTAACAAAGAATGGTGAATGGATTTCATCATATAAAGAGACTCCGTCTAATTTACTACACACAGTCCATTCATCAATGTTCCCTCCTACTGCACTAGAGGCTGACACATATCAGTTGAACCGATGGTACTTTATATTATTGTATCATTTACATACATGTACATGTACATTTTTAGATTCTCGCATTCAATATATGCACTATCATACACAGATACATGTATGTTATAATTTATGAACAAGTACAGTATTAGTACATGCACACACACACACACAAGCATCACATCAATGATAATAGTAATAGTACTACATACATTAATATTACATACCGGTACATGTAAATTGTAAAACCTGTGGTTTTTTCTGAAAATTGGCTCGAAGTCACCCCAAATTATTATTACATTTTCTGATACATATTGATGTCCTTATGCTGTAGAGAAAGTTTGAGCTGATTCCGACTTCAATTTTTCAAGTTATGGCCATTTTAAGAAAATGCCAAAATTCTGAAAAATACCCAAGGCTATAGCCCATGGTTTTTTCCAAAAAATGGCTCTGAAATCACCTCAAATTTTTATTAAATTTTCTGATACATATTGATGTCCTTATGCTGTATAGAAAGTTTGAGCTGATTCCGACTTCAATTTTTCAAGTTATGGCCATTTTAAGAAAATGCCAAAAATTTTGAAAAATACCCAAGGTATTAATAGCCCATGGTTTTTCCCAAAAAATGGCTCCGAAATCACCTCAAATTTTTATTACATTTTCTGATACATATTGATGTCCTTATGCTATATAGAAAGTTTGAGCTGATTCCGACTTCAATTTTTCAAGTTACAGCCATTTTAAGAAAATGCCAAAATATTGAAAATTACCCAAGGCTATTAGTAACGCGGTAGCGTTACTAAGTAGGATTCACCCCCAAACAAAATGGCTGCCACGACTTTTGCAGCCTTGCTATACCAGGAAAACGAGCTCCTATGCTTACCAGACTTCTT